GTAATCTTCTCTTTGGGAAAAAGAGTGTTCTCAAGAGTTGGGGTATACTCTTGAGGGATTTTGTAAGGTTATCTCTTTGGCCTCAAAAGAAAGAACAAATTAGTGAATTTGTTGGAAAATCCTTAGTGTGGATAGCTAAGGTAGTGGACGTAGACTTTGTTTGAGAAAGTCGAACCACTGTAAATCGCTGTGCAATTACTTTCAATTTTTCTGCAAAAGCTTCCACGAAATTTTTAATTGCCAATTCACCCCCCTCTTGGTCGATTCCGTCGATCGATTAACTCAACACATAGCATTGTAAAATCTAAACTACATTAGGCAACAGAGGCTTCTGCTTCTAACAAAGTCTCTCCCTTTAGCATGTACAAGTTTGTTGCTATCTTTTCGCCTTTCATCACCATAAGCGCTCCAAGAAACACCTTCATGATTTATTTCCGTGTTTCAATCTTGCTTGCATTATTATCCAACAATCCGTAGGATAATAAATTTTTCTCCAGGCCTTTAACGTGTCGCATATCTCGAACAACTTTAATTGTTCCATCATACATCTTCAATTTGATGGTTCCCACGCCAACGATCTCTAAGGCATGATCATTGCAACTATACACAGATCTTCCTGAGACAAGTTCATAATGATGAAACCATTCTCTTCTTGAGGTTATGTGATATGTTTCTCCCGAATCAATAAGACATATATCTACAAATCGTTTTCTACCTTCCACGGTGGTTAACGCTTCACAACATAGAGCATCTCCATCATCTGAAGTGTTTGTGGTATTGCCTTGTGGATGTTTTTATTTAGACTCCAACAGTCTTTCTTCAAGTGACCCTTCTTTCCACAGTTGTAGCACTTTAAATTCTTCTTGCTTGTCGACTTCGATCTACCATGTTTGTGACTGCTGCTTTGGCCACATTATGTTGATCTCCCTTTCATCGTTGTTAACGCTTCTCCTTGTTGCAGATTTACTTGTTTGTCTTTCTTGTTCTTACGCTAATTTTCTTCTATAAGAACAGCAGCTACAACGTCATCGAAGACTAGACTGGTGACATTACTGTTTGTCAAGTTGACGATGAGTTGATCATACGAATCAGGTAGACTTTGAAGTAGAAGTTCAACACGTTCTTGTTCTCCTATTGTACATCTTAAGGATGTAAGTTGAGAAAATAAAGTGTTCAATGTGTTTAAGTGCTCTGTCACTGAAGTAGATTCTGACATCCAGAAAGTATAATTTCCTCTTAAGGAAAATTTTATTGTGCAACGATGTGGCCTCGTACAGTTTGGTGAGATGATCTCATATCTCCTTAGTTGTCTTATTCTCCTCGATGCTTGACAATACTTCATCTGTTAATACTAGATGAAAGTTTTTCCTAACATTCCCGTCCATTACGATCCATTTGTTATCATCTGTGAAATCTACCGGTCTTTCACTGATAGCTGCTAGACAACCGTCTTTCCTCAGGATGACCTTCATCTTCAATTTCCACAATGAGAAATTTCTCCCATTGAACTTTTCAATATCAAATTTCGTTGTCATAGCTTCTATTAAGGATGGCTCTCACTATTTCACTATCGTGAATAGTTCTCTAGAACCTTCAAATAATGGGTAATACCTTCAAAGAATGGGTAATACCTTCAAATAATGGGTAATACCTTCTTACTTTCTTATGTTGGATTATCCACCTTTTGGTGGCAACCACAAAGACAATAAGTAGATATTACACACTCTAATCTGGCTCTTGATACCAATTGTTGCGGAATACGGCTATCGGATAGAGCAAAATCGCAACTGATAATTTGAGAAAATAAAAAATAAAGATAAAGAATACACAAAATTTACGTGGAAATCCCCTAAATAATATAGGGTAAAAATAACGGACAAAGGTAGAAGAATTTCACTATGAGAAAATAGAAATTACAACTTCTCTCAATCTAACAAGGAGAAAACAATGCCAACTCTCTCTTGATAAAAATGAGAAAACAACTCTCAAGAAAACTTTCTAAATTCTCTAGTATTGGGAGAAAGCTAGAATGTTTTGGGATGGTTTTGAAGCTAAATGGGTTAGGATATTTATAGTTGAAACTTAAGGACTAATCTTGAAAATACCCTAAAGTACAATGACTAAATGTGAGATTTTACCATTGCCAAAAATAATAATTTTGATGAATCATTGCTGCCAACTAATGCACTTTATCATTGCTGCCAACTAATGCACTTTATCATTGCTGCCAACTAATGCACTTTCGGTGCATTATTGAAACCATTTTGGTGCTTGCATGGCTGACAACTTTCAATATAACATAAGTTCGAAAGTCAAGTTTTTGAAAAATAATGTGAAATGGCATCAACTTGCAAGAAAAAAGTAGTATTGATAAAGTTTAATTTAAAGATGATGATGCAAAATAAATTTTATCTCTGTATCCCCATGTGGTTGATCAAATATAAATAAATTTTCTAAGATCAAAAGTTCTATATTGGAAAAAACTTGAGAGAGAATGAAAGGACGGATTAGTTACTCAATTTCTTCTCCTTAATCCTATCGTGTGATAAGATATTAAGAGAAAATAATTATGTTTTTATAATATAATTATTTTTATTGTTTTTACTTTTTTTTAGTTTTAACTCAAATTCTTTTATGATTAATTAGATTTAGTTTTTTTTACACCTATATTTTATCTAATAAATTTAACCATATTCTCAAATTTAGCCATAAAAATATTAGATTGACTCTCATACTTAGTCTCAAAAATTTGAATCATTATGTATTTGATATTGTTCTCTTCGATTAAGCCAAAAAAATCTAAAAAAGAAGAAGATAAAAACATATAAAAATAAATAATTTCAATATGTAAAATTGTGAGGATGGAACGTATTTTATATAAAAAAACATAATGACAAAAATAATACCTAACGCTTGATTATATGATAATTTTCCTATATATATATATATTGAAAATTTTGGTTCCTAACGTTTCATTTGGAGATAAAAAAAACTCTTACATAAATGAAAATCATTAGTCAATACATGAAATTGAGTCAGCATGTACACTTAATATATTTAATATTTAATAATCTTATATATAAATTATTGTTTAGTACATTATCGCTGAAAACAATAATTTTATAAACACCCTTAATATACTGACTAATATCCTTAGAATATATTTAAAATTTTTAAAATTAAATAACTAAAATCTAAATATATTATGAGAGTTCGTTGAATTATCTTTTTTATTAACAATGCACCAAATAATTGTTCAGATTTTTATATTATTATAAGTTGATATTTTCAGCTTTATTTACTCTATTCACAAATACTAAAATCAAGATTTTTTTTTATTTTACTTAAAATATTAGTACATTCCATTAAATTAACTTATTATTAATAATTATATATGTATTTAATTGATTGATAAATTTCTAAATGTGTCCTTATATCAATGGAATATATATTTTATCTCTCTCTCTATATATATATATGCATAAATTGGCGGTGTGGTATTTATGGCCAAGTGGTAGAGGTCTGTCAAGTCTTGTCTCCTGGTAGCGTCAATTTTTAGGTATTCTCCAAATTCCATGAGTCGTATAAGTTAAGGTTGCGGTTGTCGTTGCATGTAGGCTTTGGTTTCAAAGCCACAGCTACGTGTGTTGCCCGTACTGGGCCACGTATGATTTGGTGGACTCAAACCCTTCTTTGCAAGATTATTATCTCATATGTTGTACCTTTCCTTCATTCTACGTGATTGATAGTTTTGATTGTATACTCAAACTTTGTTATACGTGAATTCAGGATGAACTTTTCTGGTTATTTTTTTTCGGGGTGAAATTAAAAAATTAATCTTTAATTTAAAAAAATTTAAAATTATGTAATATAAAATTGTAATTATTTTTTTGAAGTTTAATTATTTATTAGCATTAATATAAAAATTCAGTAATTACAATTGACACCTTAATAAATTTATGGACCTTACTATTTTATTTTATAGTTTTTTTAAAATATTAACTTATTTACAATTTTTTAAAAATTTCTTATAAAAATAAAAAAATATATTAATAATTTTTGTAATTTGTGGGCCTTAAGCGAGTACCCTTTTGCCCTGGCTGAAGACTAGCCCTGAGTAATTTTAAACATTATAAATTTAAATGTTAAAATTATTATTTTATAAAAGTTTAAATAATCAATTTGAATATCCATTATTGGTATATGTATTATTTATATAAATATAAATTACAGGTTTAGATATATAAATTTTACTGAGAAAAGTATGAGTGTGTCAAAATATTATATCATTCATTGTGATATTAAAATGATAATAACAAAGATAATATAAATAATTAGCAACATGAACGAATTCATAAAATTATAGAGACATTAAAATTTTGGAATTAGAGAAAATCGTATAATTTTAATATATTGTATACTTTTTTTTCTAATATTAAATTTATTACAAAGATTTCTTCTATATCTTTTACATTTTTTAAAATTATTTCCAAAGTATATAGGAAATAATATCAATATAAATAAGGTAGTATTTGTTAAAAAAAATTTGATCTATTGATAATGTACATATATTTTGTAGATGTAGTAACTTTAATCTAAGTCTTTAAAAGAGATTAGCATTATCTTTTTATCATTGAGATCATTTAATAGATTTATTTAGTTTTATTATTTCTATATAAAACTTTGAATTATGGAGATTAACATGAACTTATCTGTATTAATTATGATTAACAATTGTCTTTTTGTGCACAAGGTTTTGTTTGGTAACATAAAGGATCCCCACAAAGAATAATTAAGCATCAAATATTTAATTTAATTTATACTTTTACCAAATACTGACGTCGGGCTAGGGACAACAATTACAATAATATTGTTTAATATTAATCACATAAAATAAAAAAATATTATTTAATAAATTAAAGTTAAGTATAAATATAAAAATATGTGGGAAAATGATCCTATATGACGTGGCACATAGTACGCCAAATAAAGCAAGAGCCACTGATATACAATAATCACACATACTTGCCGTTGTCTCCTACCACTATCAGTTGGATACATTGGAGAGAAATGGCGGAGGAAAAGGTGAAGCTGGTGAACGGTGACGGCGTCGGAGGTGGAAAGGGAATCGTGGAGGTGAACCCCAAGCCCCAGAAAGGGCTAAGTGCGACGCTGATTGACTGGTTTGAGCAGTTGATAGTGAAATTTATGTACGATTCTTCTAAGCCTCAACACTATCTCTCCGGTAACTTCGCGCCTGCTCCGACGGAAACTCCACCCACCCAATATCTTCCCGTCAAAGGCCATCTCCCTGTAAGCTACGATTGATTGCTTAGCTAAAACTGATTGTAGTTTTGGATTACTTAATTAAATGATTTAACTTTTGTTTCAATTGTCTATTCGTTGTATGCTACTAATAGATGTTTTTCCAGGAATGCTTGAATGGCGAATTCGTAAGGGTTGGGCCCAACCCCAAGTTTGCCCCTGTTGCTGCATATCACTGGTATGTGAATTTCCAACTCATATGGTTTTCTTGTGGATTGAATATTCGATTTTTTATTTAATAACCATATAACATCACATCTAATTCTTTCTATATTTAATTTTTTATTTATGTTTCTTACAGGTTTGATGGAGATGGGTATGTTTACCTTGCTTTATATAGGATCAGTTAATTTCTTTGCAAATTTGGATTGTAAACATAAATGGGAACCCTGTTTGTTGATTGTGGAATTGACAGAATGATTCATGGTATGCGCATCAAGGATGGAAAGGCGACATACGTGTCTCGTTATGTCAAGACATCACGTCTTAAACAGGAAGAGTATTTCGGAGGGGCAAAATTTATGAAGGTGTATCTTGCAAGTTGCCTTCTTGACTAAATGGTTGAACAAGTTTTCAACTGATTAATTATGATTAATGAAATTTATTATTATTATAATGCTAGCAAACTTGTACCGGCTATGTTTTTATTTCTCTGAGCAGCTTCTAATTGGTGGGGCATTTTGAAAACTAAACAATAATGACACGACGTGCGAAATTAGAAGCATTAAATTTAATTTTAACTGCAGAAAACCCCTATGGTCAATGCTTGACATGTCGTTATCTTCTTCTTGAATATGATCTTTTTCAGGTCGGAGACCTTAAAGGATTATTTGGACTGCTCATGGTCAATATATATAAGCTGAGAGAAAAGGCTAAAGTGTTAGATCTATCATACGGGAATGGGACTGGTAAATTTTTTTTATTCTGTTTCTGCTATTTGCAAAGATGATGAAATGGACTGCATTTAATATTCCCTTATATGCATGATGTCTCTGATGCATTTGTGCTTTCTGTCTATTTAGTGCTAGTATTTGTATACCCTGGTGTCTGTTCCATATATTGAAAGTAAAGATACGGGTGAATGGTTCTAAGATGAGTGTTATTTCTCCAAACCTTCGAAGGAAGGAAATGCTGGTAGAACACTGAGTGAATGAGAATGGATTATGTATTACTTCTTCGTTCTGATACATGTGATGATCTAGTACATTCCCAGGTGGGGGCTCCAAAATTTATGTGTCCCTCAACTTATTCCATAAATCCTTCACAGTGTCAATGCATCTCGTAAAATGGAATCTGAAAAAATCTCACCCTTTCCTTTTCGTTGTTGCTCATTACTGGTAGTTGGCCTGCTTTAAAATGTTTGTCTTATTGTTGTGACTCTGACCTGGCATACCGTCATTTGAACAGCTAATACAGCTCTTATATATCACCATGGGAAACTTCTGGCACTTCAAGAGGCAGATAAACCTTGTAAGTTTGTCTTCTCTCTTTTGATTTTCTTTCAAGAAATAATTAAGAAGGTTGAGGATGCTAACCTTCACATCTATTACGATTCTTATTATTTTCTTATTTGGGTTCTCTTTTTTTTTTTACTTCGATGAAACTTCGGTATTAAATTGTAGTCACTTTTACAACAGATGTCCTAAAAGTTTTGGAGGATGGCGATCTCCAAACTCTTGGCATGCTTGATTATGACAAGCGATTATCACATTCCTTCACTGCTCATCCGAAGGTTGATCCAGTCACTGGTGAGACCTATTATTTAAAAACGAGATAAGTTATTAGTTACCGAGTGGTAAAATGCTTTGGATTTATGATATTTCTGTATACAGGTGAGATGTTTACTTTTGGCTATGGACACGAACCTCCTTATATTACATACAGAGTTATTTCAAAAGATGTTTAATACGTTTCTGTTATTGGTATTTATTAAGGATTAGAACTGGGCTTGCTAACGTTGACTTCTGTGTATCATTCTCTTCATGTTTCCTCTTTTAAATTAGACGGATCTTATGTTTCTGTCTATATGCAGAGATTCTTTCGCAGGGATTATTATGCAGGGATAAATTCCAGTTACAGACGCACATATGATTTTAATGACGGCATATGAATACTGATTAGCTATGTATTTATGTATTTATTTATACATGCATTGCATTTTATCTAAATTTTTAATTTTCTGACTGCCGGAGGTCTTCCACGGAAGCTACTCTCAACCTGGCGTTGGGGGTAGCCTACTACCCTACCTCCCCCTTACCCCATACATATGGGAATTGGGTTTTGTTGTTGTTGTTGTTGTTGTATACCTGTTTTCAAACCCTTGTACGAGGTTAATATTTGACTTGGGTTCCTAAAATGTTGTCTGGTTCCTCCTTGAAAACTTTTATTTTGGTGGGTAACTAAGACTACTTATGTGACATAATGGAATCTTGGCTTCTGTCATTTTTGTTGAGAATAATAATTGCATCTTGGAACTGTTGACATTTAAATTTTCAGGAAATGGTTAAAGAAAAGAAGCTGATATACTCATTTGATGCTTCAAAGAAGGCTCGTTTTGGTGTGCTTCCACGATATGCAAAAGATGATCGCCTAATCAGATGGTTTGAGCTTCCTAATTGCTTTATCTTCCATAATGGTATTGTATTCGTCTTGTTGTTTTTCTTTTACCCACAAAAACTTTCTTCTGTTGGTAGTTTGAGTTTACAAATATTCAATGCATGGCCTTTTACATATTCTCACTGGTAACAAACACATCAAAGTCAGCTATGCAAGACCTGCCCAGGGACTTCTTGATACCAAACTTAGCTTCAGGTTTCTTCATTTTTCCATAATAGAAAGGAGTAATTGCTAGAAAATGATTTTTATTGACACATTTTTTATCAGTTTAATTGAAATGGTTGCATTATTTCTTTTTAACAATTATCTAGGACAAGACAATTCCGCAACTTCCTCAACTCAATCCTTGATGTTTCAAGTCTTTTCTTTATTTCTCTTAGGAATTCAATCCATTAGTTAAACTTACTATAAGTACGGCTACCAATGGAAAGGGCATATAAGTCTTCTTTGAAACATAACTTATTCTCATTATATTTCTAAAAAAAACTATTATATGCTTAATATTTGATCTTTGAGCATGGAGGGGCTAGAATCTTACTGCTTTTGTTATGTTCTGTTACTAGCGAATGCTTGGGAGGAGGGAGATGAAGTTGTTCTGATCACTTGCCGCCTTCAAAATCCAGATCTGGACATGGTCAATGGGGAGGTCAAAGATAAGCTTGATAATTTTACAAATGAGCTGTGAGAATTCTGACCTATTATGAGAATATGCAATGGTTTTGTAGAGAAAGTTGTTTCTCATTCTTATCATGTAAATCAGGTATGAGATGAGATTCAACATGAAAAGTGGTTGTGCTCTACAAAAGAAATTATCTGCTTCTGCTGTAGATTTCCCCAGGGTGAACGAATACTACACTGGCAGGTAGGTAATCTGAAAACATGCAAAGGAGCATACCTTGCTGTATGATATGCTTATCTTCTTTGATCAAAGTTTATACCTTACTCTTTTTTTCTCTCTTGTGTGAATTTAGGAAACAAAGGTATGTGTATGGAACCATTTTGGACAGCATTGCAAAAGTCACAGGGATTGTGAAATTTGATCTGCACACGGAACCAGAGGTCGGAAAAACAAAGATTGAAGTTGGGGGAAATGTTGCAGGGGTCTTTGACTTGGGTCCTGGTAGATTTGGTTCAGAAGCTGTTTTTGTGCCTTGTGAACCGGGGACCACTGGTGAAGAGGATGATGGCTACTTGATATTCTTTGTACATGATGAAAATACCGGGTATGTCTGTCCCTTACTCTTGCTATTTAATTTATCGTTTTCATTTTACTCTTTATGTATGAGTGAGAACTGAAAAGGAGAATCGCTACTACTCTCAATTTGATAGGGTCGCATCTGACTATTGTTTTTGACTGAACAGAAAATCTGCAGTGAATGTGATTGATGCAAAAACAATGTCAGCAGATCCTGTTGCGGTTGTCGAGCTACCCCACAGGGTTCCTTATGGGTTCCATGCATTCTTTGTGACAGAGGTTAGTATGGTATATAAGAGTGGGATAATAAACAATTTTCATCAAGAGATGATAAAATCTGTCTGCATTTTTGATTCTGTGATCTTATCTTTACTCTTTTGCTTCCTGTGGAACAGGAACAACTTCAAGAGCAAGCAATATAGAAATGGTTGGGATTTTTCTTTTCGGCCAGCAGAGGAATGAAGATATGCAATTGCCTTTGTTTAATAGACAGACACATTATTATATATATCCTGTAATAATAATGCCTCTCCAGTATACAGAACTATTACCTGTTTGCGCATGGGTAAAAGATACTATAATTTTTATATATCCGATGTTGGATGAGGTTTCTTCATTTGTATTGAGTTCTTAGGACCAGGGGTTGATAACTTTCATAGGCCTACACACACTGCTCATTCTTCCCTAAAGTTATCGAGTGTGTGATGCATATACCAGTACCACTGGCTTTTAGGATCATAGTAACCCAAAATTTATGATATTGCTTTGCATTTACCTTTCTGCCTGGCACGACATAGTGGGAGTGATGAGAAAAGCCGACACCACAAACTTTGTTAGCAAGAGCATGCATTGTTGAGGGGTTATTTTTTAAGGCGATGGGTGTGACAAAATAGTTAAAATGAAGTGTCGCAGAGAGAGAGAGATGCCGGGGAGGAAGATGAGATGGTAGAAAGGATGGATGGCTTAAGTAAATAAAAGTTAGGCTGAAAATTGTGGTGGTTATAATGATTGTAGAAAGGATTTGAAGAGAGAATAGAGAATTCAAAGAGTTTAGGTTCGTCAAATTTTCTTGAATGAAATGTTTCATCTTCTATTTGTAGATCACTTTATGTGTAGATGCAAATACGTCTCTTGTTCAAATAAACGAGTTAGTAAACAAAATTTTAAACAAGTTTGTTTGTGAATATAAAGGAATCGAAGACATGTTTGTGTTTGTTTATTAAATGAATATAATTTTTTTGTTCATACTCATTTATTTAACTTAATAAACCAACATAAATTTTTTGTTCATGAATAGTTTCATCAAATGTTCTATACATATAAACACCATTGTCGGCAATTAATGATAAACACTAACATAAAAGTATATATAATAATGATTGCTTGTTAACAAACTGATATTATCACAACTTAATCGCTACTCATTTGCAAGGATTATGAGCACCTATTAATCTTCGACTCGAAGGTCCAAAGCATGAATAAATCAATATTTAATGAAAAAAAAGTTAACTAGATATGAGTAAATGACAAATCTAACCCTAAATAAAAATGTACTACAAAAGCAAACAAATAACCTGCTATAAAAGTAGATAAAATCACTCATTGTTCTCGTAAAAAAATTATAAGAGTTGAAAAATAATAAAGAAAAAAAACAAACCAAAGGTATAAGATAAAAAATAAAGATTTATTTTTAACGTATAAATAAATCCTAACTCATATATAATACTTATTTTCAATTACATCGACAGATCATATAAGGTAACATATATAAATATTAGCATAAGATATATTTTTAATATATATTAATTATTTATATTTATAAATAATAATAAGTATTAGCGGAGATAAATTTGAACTTAGACTTCAATTTTTTGAACCATAATGGGCCTGGCCCAACACATGAACACATGAACGGGTCCGGGAGTTGGAGTGTTGATGAAGGAGCTCGTAGTTGCTCTGTCATTATCGTTTCTTCTAAGTAAATACATTTCCGTGCTTAGAGCAATTATTTCCCTTTAATCATTCCATTTGTTTTTCTCTACCTTATCTGGAGAAAGAAATAGTGTGTGACCTGTTTGTCACTCTGCATTGCTTGTCTCTTTCCTTTCCTCAATTCTTCATTTGCAAGGTTAGTACATCAGTTTCCTCTCTCAGATTTCCCTTTCTCTCGTGGCTTTCCTGCAAGATCTGATGAAGATTTGGCCTCCTTTTGCAAGAAACTGAAGCTAATGGTGTCGCTTTTGAGTTCGATTTCGCTTTTATGTCTCAATATCTTTTTCTCATGTTTGTTTTTCTCGCTAAAACTTGTGGATAGCTAATGGATAGCCTTATCTTTGGATTATGTTTCTTAGTTTATTCGCGGATTTGTTTCAATATTTTGAAATATATTGCGTTTGATTAGCATCGCATTTCGTTAGAACTGTTTGGCTCATAATTTATAACTGGAGTACTCTACTCTTTCTATTTTATCTGTCTTATTTCGCGTTGAAATTTCAGATCGTGGTAACTCGTCGCATGTCTTGGAATATTCCGTTGAACAAAAAATTAGATATGATCCTGTTGACTTCGTAAACTCAATTAAGTATCAATTGTCGCACAGTAGAAGAAAATATAAACAGTCGGGTCTAAGAATAAGATGCTTCAAATTTAGTTGCGTTTTTAATTAAAATTTCTTTCTTGGGAGTAGTGTCTGAGGCATTGGAAATTCTAGCTGGTGAACTAAAATCTCTTCTCCATAATTTTTTTTTTTTTTTCAGATTTGAGCTCAACAAGTTACTCTTGAAGTGGGGGATTAATTAAAGTGAAGGCATGCACACAACAACTTGATATTTTGACAACCAGTTATATCCCTTTTTCTCGACTAAAGAAAGAAGCAAGTGACAATGGAATCGGAAGGAGACATCGGGGTATGTAATGAGAGAAATATTTACAGTTGTCTTGCAGTTTGCTTTATTGATTAGATAGTTTAAGGTACCCCGATAAAGCGAAATACTTGCAACAGGTCTGGGAGTTTGAATTAACTTTGTTTGCAATTGGTTTCCTCAATTTATTATGACAATCACAACCTAGATATAACCACTTGTGATGATTTCCCTGTACTTTCTCTTTTATTATAACTTATAGTTGGACATATTTGGTAGGTTTTTATTTTTATACGTGGATCAAGGAAGTTGTCCATTTCTATTGCTAAATATGTGAATTTTTACTCTTTGATTGATCAGGGTAAGCTCGTGAAGAATCTGGGTAGCCAGACATGCCAAATCTGTGGTGATAATGTTGGCAAAAATATGGATGGGGATCCATTCATTGCTTGCGATGTATGTGCATTTCCTGTATGTAGGCCTTGCTATGAATACGAAAGGAAGGATGGGAATCAGTCATGCCCTCAATGCAAAACCAGATACAAGAGACACAAAGGTGCTTTGAACATTGGAGTTTAACTAGATTTTGGCATGGTTTTCCAAATTTCCATAAATACGCTATATTTGTGAGATATTTTGTTGTTTTTAGGATTTTCTCATCAACACTATGTATTGAATACATTTTCACGTTATTATCAAATCACCCTTCAATTTTATCAATAATTACCAGTGGTTTTCCAGTTATAGTTGTTACTGGTTCCAGGTAGTTCTGCTATTCTTGGAGACAGAGAAAAGGATGGTGATGCAGATGAAGATGCTAGTGATTTCAATTACTCTTCAGAAAACCAAGACCAGAAGCAGAAAATTGCAGAAAGAATGCAGAGCTGGCGTGCAAAATATGGTAGAGGGGAGGATGTTGGTGCTCCTAATTATGATAAAGAAGTTTCTCATAACCATATTCCTCTGCTCACCTGTGGGCAGGAGGTAAGTCTAAAAGCTGTTGAAAAGCTAGTGATTTGCTGTGTAATTGTTCATGCATGGAATGATGGATTGGAACTTTGCTTTCCTCTCGGAATATTGTAGGTTTCTGGCGAGTTATCTGCTACATCACCTGAGCGGTTTTCTATGGCATCTCCTGGCGTTGCTGGTGGGAAATGTATGAATTCTCTTCCTTGGATGAAATTAATTAATTTCACAAAAAGAAAATTATTGTTTGGTTGATAGGTACCTATGGCTGAGTGATATAGATATTGTAATTCCTGTGCAGCGAATATTAGGGTTGTGGATCCAGTGAGGGAGTTCGGTTCACCAGGATTAGGCAATGTTGCCTGGAAGGAGAGAGTTGATGGCTGGAAGATGAAGCAGGAGAAGAATGTTGTTCCTTTGAGTACATGTCAGGCTGCTTCTGAAAGAGGGGCTGGAGATATTGATGCCAGCACTGATGTGCTTGTGGATGACTCTTTATTGTGCGTTTTTATCTGTTTAATTTTGAACTTTTATGAGGTTATTTGTTCTTGTGCATAGTTGTCCATGACCGACAAAAAAAATTGCAAGGATTGTGATTACACGTCAGCCCTTTGTCTAGGGTATTCCTAAATCCTGCAATACAGAATACACACATATACATCTATATTTTTTTTGAATTAGGAGAACCTGATTTAAGAAAGCACTGTGAAATTCCTGGTGTATGGGAGCTCAGTCCTGCTACAAATCTGTCCTGCCTAAGTTTAATTGAACACATTTGCTTCTTAATTTGCAGGAATGATGAAGCTCGGCAGCCTCTATCAAGGAAGGTTTCCATTCCCTCATCTAAAATAAATCCCTATCGGATGGTCATCCTGCTGCGTCTCGTTATTCTCTGCATATTCTTGCACTATCGGATAACAAACCCTGTTCCAAATGCCTATGCTCTGTGGTTGATATCTGTGATCTGTGAGATTTGGTTTGCAATATCCTGGATATTGGATCAGTTCCCCAAATGGCTTCCTGTTAACCGTGAAACCTATCTTGATAGGCTTACCTTAAGGTGGGATGTTTTGTCCCTTCAATTTCATGAATCCTCACTAATATATTTTAAGTAGTTGTGTCAACACAGTCCCTACAATTTTTCTTGTTTTGTGATTTCAATTCCTTGGATGTATTACAGATATGACCGTGAAGGAGAACCATCGGAATTAGCTGCTGTTGACATTTTTGTGAGTACTGTCGACCCATTAAAGGAGCCCCCACTTGTGACAGCCAACACTGTACTCTCCATTCTTGCTGTTGATTATCCAGTTGACAAGGTCTCTTGCTATGTTTCTGATGATGGTGCTGCCATGTTAACTTTTGAAGCACTGTCTGAGACATCAGAGTTTGCCAGGAAATGGGTACCTTTCTGCAAGAAATATAACATTGAGCCTCGGGCTCCAGAATGGTATTTTGCACAGAAGATTGACTACCTGAAAGATAAAGTTCAAACATCTTTTGTTAAAGATCGTAGAGCTATGAAGGTAATGGTCTGTTTGGATGTGCCATATTGTGGTCCATATTCAAATTTTCATCATGTTTGCTTCTTTGTTTCTATTGCAGAGAGAATATGAAGAATTTAAAGTTCGTGTTAATGGGCTTGTTGCAAAGGCACAGAAAGTTCCTGAAGAAGGATGGATTATGCAGGATGGTACACCATGGCCTGGTAATAACACCAGAGACCATCCAGGAATGATCCAGGTAAGACATTTTTGCATTCATAGATATGCTACACATGCATCAGTCC